AAGAAAGGAGCAACTTGAAAGAAAACTTGCATGATAAAGCATGTTAAGTATATGCTGCATGTAGGTCTATAATCTCATACATGATAGAAAGCCCTGGGTTTGTGCCATTTGTCTCTGTTGTTGCTCCAAGGCTTTGCCTGTTCATTACTTGTTTCAGGATGTTTCCCAATAGTTAATATCACCAAAGAGCACTGGGTTATGTACAGTTGGAAACTGGACCAATGACTTGGGAAGTGTGTCTTAGACATACTGAGGGCTCTTGCTCTGGCTGAGTGTACAGGTAAGGAGAGGCAATTTACCTTACAGAGGTAAGCTGACTTAATTCAGTGCTGAAAAGATCCGAGTGCTTCAGCAGCTTCATATAGGCAGGCTGGATGGGCAGTAGGCGGCAAGACAGCCAGACAAGGCAGGTGAGGGAGCAACTACCCTAGTCTAGTAACCGGTGTCACATACTGACTTTTTACGGGTTGATTCTGAATGATGATGTTGTTGCTCTTACTTACAATGTGTGCTTGTCTACCTCAAAAGGCTCCTGTATTCATTAAGGCTACTCTAATAGGCACTCAGACATCCCACTAACCAGAGTCAAATAGGGTCATAGGAGATAAAGAGAAAAGATGTGAAAAGTACCTAATGCCCTGATGAACTGAGAAAAACAAAAAGGCAAAGGGGACCTAGAGACTGATGTGGGGAGGAAAAGGAAAGGCATGAGGGGAATTCAGTAAGTCTGGAGTGAAAGCCAGCAGAGTGAAACTCACAAAAACCTTGGAGGCTTGGGAGAGTCTGGTCAGGATGCTGGAGGAAAACCTCAGCCTATGAGTAAATGCCTGCTTCCTTGAGGACCAGGAGATGTGGGCAAAGGTCTTAGGTTTAGTCTGTGAAGGAAATCACTAGAGAGTTAAAAAGAGAACTCTTTAAAGGGGACACATTCAGTATTTGGCTTGACTCTGAAGGAAGAGAGCAGCTCAGAGCAGTTCTGCAGGTGCCGAGCAGGGCCCAGGACATGCCTTAAGAAAGCTTCACCAGGTCCTGGGAATATTCTGGCTAATTTCAGGGCCATTTTATGTGATTACTAGATCATTGCTAAAATTGAGTGTCCAAGATCTGGTCAACAGCAGTGGATTCAGGGATGTGAAGGTAAAATGGATTGTCTCACATATGCCAGGGTTACAACAAGAATTTAAGTACGTAATGTCTCATCTCTGGGCTGGAATTTCCTCTTCCACGGGCTGATAGAAATCTCATGGTGCTGTTCTAAGAGTTATTAAGAGTTCGGGTGTCAATGTGCTTGGATAATGGTGTAACTGCTTCCCACCTCCGCCGTTATCCTTTGTTCATCCACATCTCTCTTAACAGTCTAGGTCTCAAGAATGCCTACTGCTTCTGCGTCATTTGGTGGAAATACAACCCAGATTCCTCTTAAGCCATGAGCAATACCCCAGGGACCTCAAAGTCCTTCATGGAAGAAGTGGTGCTGCACTGTGCAGCAGAGAGCTCACCTGCAGGGGATGAAGGACCCAGCGGGGCTCTCTGTGGTAGCTATGCTCTAAGGATGCTGAGCATGCTCTAAGGATATGATTGTGTGTAGTCTTCATTGGGTGCTTAGTTCAGAAGTATGAAAAGAAGCCATTGGAAATGTCTGCCAGATTTACCAGGGACTTAAGGAGATTGTGTGTGAAGCTGTGACCATGGCACTTTTAGGAGTAGCTGAACCAAGACTAGGGAGCTTGGGCAACAGCCAGTGCCAGGGGGTTAAAGTCGAATCGTCCTGCTGGGTACATGGAAGGTGGCAGGACAAGCTGAGAGTGCACGGCTTTTCTGTCTAGAAAGCTCACTCTAGAGCTTTCTCATCTCATCTTCAGCTGCAGTGTCTTCATCATGAGGCCTTTTAGCAGCAGCAGGTGCTCTGCTCTAATCAAAGTCATCCTAGTGGCAATAGAATGCATGGAATGCACACAAAGAGCCTGGTGCCACAGATGCCTCTGGTCTAGGACTGGCAGGTGGACATTTCACTTCCCTGGCACCCATTTGGCCAGCACATGATGAGTGGCTGCAGACCCAAACATTTTTACCAAAGACAACAAAGGCCAAAGGAAGCTGGATCCTAAGGACTCTCCCCAGCAAAGTCCCAGGCTACTTCAAAGACAAAATCCAGCAGGTGAGAGGCTAAAATGGAGTCCTCTTTCTCCTACTGCAGTACACACAGAAGCCGCTGAACCCAGTCACTAAGCACAAGCCGAGTGGGGAGCCTGTATTTTGGTCCTAACCTTGCCCATAGGCAGCTGTATGAGTCTTAAGCAGGTCACTTAATCTCTCTGTGTCTCAGTTTCCACATCTTTCAAAGGGGAATAAGAAAGTGGCTTCCTCATAGCATTGCTAGGATAAACAAAGACACAAAGTGGAATCATCATGTAAAAAAAAAAAAAAATTGTGGAAAAGTGTTCTGTTTTTAAATTCATAGAAAGTATTATTCAGTAATCCAGTGCTCAAAATATTTGGTATCCTCAAGCTCCATATCTTTTATTCCACTCAACCCCAGCATAAAAGCAATAAATCCCTTCAAATTAGAGCACTTTTCTTTATGGAGGCCTCCCTGCCAATCCAAAGCTCCCTCTGGGCCATGATAACAGCCCTTCTCTGGGAGCCTCAGACATGAAGCCTTATGAAAACACCCTTGACAAATGCCAGGCTGCCTGCCTTCCCGTTGCTCCAAACCACAACACAAACCTATCATAAGGACCAAGAATTTATAGTTACCAGAGCTGACCAACCCCATCACCAACCTGTGGCCACCCAGAATGTCCCCAGTGTCCCCTTGTTATTCAGAAAGCCCTAGAGCCACTCATACAGGCAACAGTTTCTGTACTTGGTGGTTCCCTCCCTTCCTCCGTACTATATATGGAAGACCACAGCTGCATGTCCCCCACCCCCACCCCCACCCCACCAAGAGGCAGTGTTTCCTGCATGGCTTCCCCACCACTTAAGCAATGGAAAGTCCCAGTTTTCCTGATGAACTCTTGTCACTAAAAATGGCTGCCTAGGTTCATCGTCTAATGTGGCTTCCATGGGAAACCATCAGCCACTCCCTTCCAGTACGTTCTTTATCCCATGTTCCCATTCTCTGGACCAAGACAGATCGAGGTTTTTGAGCCAAAGTGTCTGTCATTGATCAGACACTGAATTCAAAGCTCTTACTATATGATCAACCTTGAAATCTTGGCTTCCTTTTCCTTTGAATGGCTACTAGTGTCATTCAGCTTCTCTCCTCAGTACTTTCCTGGTCTCTCTTAGCACTGATCTCCAGTTGAAGTGACCTTTCAAATTTAATTCAAGCCATATCCCTCCTAACTGAAAATCCTTCAGACAACTACCCCAGTCCCAAACACTGAACCCCAAATCCAAGCATAGTAGACAAGGCCTTCTAATCACTTCCATTCCCAGGTACATCTCCTGTTTATGCTAAGCCAATTCATCTGAAACCCCTAAGAAAGCCTGGGCTTTTTGTCAGCTTTGACCTTCCAAAACTGCCATTCCTTTCCACAATATCCTTTCTCCCTGGACTAGCCCAACTTCACATCTTAGTGTAAGATGAACTTCCAGGAGGGGTCCTGTGAGCAGCCTCCTCTCTCAGAGGTAAGTGCTCCAGGAAGGTACACTTCAAAATGGCTGTAGCACATCATCATAACTTAGTTGGTGGTTGTTTATCTCTCCCTAGGCTGCAACTCCACAGTGAGATGGACCACCCTACAAACCAGTATGTACTGATCATTTACAACATTTGAAATTCTAGTACATATGTGTGCATTTGTGTGAATGTGTATAACATTTGTTAACGTCAAATAAATAAATAAATGGCAAACAACTAAGACCTACAAAGGGCCTATTTGCAGTATCTGTAGACCAAAGCATTTTCAACAGAGTAGGTAGGACAGGACAGGCACAGACCAAAGGCCACTTGTATCAGAGGTCTTCCCAGGCTTTGAGAGTGATCTGAAGCTTCCAGTCAACATTTCATTTCTGTCATTGCTTCTTTTTCTAAACTCTCTCCCCTTGAGCACAGTGAGATTGACTGATCTAAAATACAGCACCCTTGGGAAAATGAGGGGTGGTACATGGAGCAACTAGCAGAACAAGGCTGCAAGCAGAGGAGATACTAAAGGCCTGATGGGCAAGCTTGGAGTTGTACAGCCAGAACTTGAAGAGGACCAGGAAGATTGAGGGCATTGGGCCCAGGAGGGCAATAAAAGGAACAGGGCCCTGGGACACAGGCTAGAATGGAGAAGATGGCAGGGTGCTAACAGTCCAGCTGGGAGGAGGAGAGAGTGGACAGGAAAAGAAGACGGAGGCAGACAGCTTGGGAACTGTGGGGGCTAGGTTACTGCCAAGGCTAATGAAAGCTTCCAGCAAATGAGAGGGTGACTAGACAAGAGGCCTCTGATAGCTCATCTCCAGGAAGGTCTCTGTGTAGGTACTCAACTGCCTCTGCAAGGACATCTCTGCCAACCATGCACCCAACCAATTCCACTGGTTCTGATTCTAAGCCCAAGGTTTTGGGGTAGTGGGGAGCCACATAAAATATCTTTCCCCTCCCCTTAAGTTTCAGAAAGGTTAAAGGCTGTGCCTTGGGTTCTTAAGTAAAGCTCAGCAATTCTGGAAGCCACAGGGCTCCAGGCTTCAGTGTTCTTGCTAGTTGGTGGTGATGCCCACCTCAGACAGCCATTAGGAAGTGAAGTCAGATCATGGTCGTGAAGTACCACACACCATTTTGGGCACAGAATAAACTGACTCTTCCACTCTAAATGAAGGCCAGCAAGCCCATGCGGGGAGTGTGAATGAAGATAAAGAAAGGCCTTCATTGCTCATTCATTGGGGGGAAAGGCACAAGCCTGGGCTGGGTAGCATCAGATAGGACAGGGACACACGCCCTGCATCCCATCAGGCTCACCCAGGTGCCTGGTGTCCAGGCTGACAGAAGACCCCACCTTACACTGGGTTAGTACCTTTCTCACCACATTTGGAGAGGAGTGCTGGGAGGCGCTGTCCACCGGCGGGACACTGTGAGGGGTCTCTGCCCCAGATGTCTGGGGCAAGGCAGCAGCAGTACTCTTGTCAACAGGTAGAGCTGGCTTTGGGCCCTCAGATGTTGGTGGCTCCTCTGTAACCTAGAAAAGAAATAAGGACCCTGGATGGGTTCCACAGAGAATAGCAGCAGGGACTAATGGGCCCTGCCCATTGTCACTGTTTACACACCATGAATGGCTTAAACTTTCTCAAAAAGAAAAATAATCTGTGTTGGGGAAATGTCAGTCAGTAACGTGTCTGGTATATAAGCAGAAGACCTGAGTTCAAATCTCAGCACGCACGTAAAACTTGAGAATGAACCCTAGGGCTAATGTAGTGGGCAGAGAACAGCTCATAAACCCGTCAGCCTTGCGAATCTGTGAGTTATAGCTTTAAAGAGAGACCCTATCTCAAAAAACTAAGGCAGGAAGTGATCAAGGAAGACAGCTGATGTCAACCTCTGGCCTATATGCACACATGCACACAAATGCATGTGTGCCCTCACATGCACATCCCCAGACATCGATATGCCCATACAAACACGCACATAACACACTCACACACACACACACACACACACACACACACACACACACACACAAACCTACCCTAGCTAAACTCTTTCTGAAACAGTATTCTAATACCATAGTCTTAGAATAGAACCTAACGCAAGAATTCTGAGCTAACTCTTTGATATTCACTTTAACAATTATAACATGGGATTTTCGTTTGGTTGCCTGGCTGGTTGGATGGCTAGCCGATTGATTAACTGGTTGGTTAGTTTGGTTTGGGTCTGAGTTTATTCCATTATTGTCATTGTTGCAGTGCTAGGAATCAAACCCAGGGTCTTGTGCATGGTAACAAGCACTCAACCTACCACAGAGACACACCCTCAAATCTGTAACACAGTTTGTGCTTATATTTAGGTTGTGACCCTCAATGGTCCCTGCATTCTGTCCTGCCATCACAGGGATTATTTTGCACCTCTTCAAAGGAACCAAGCTTCAGGAGATGACACCTGAAGCATTATCTAAAGTCATCCATAATGAAGCATGAATGGGAAGCCTTATGTATAGTAAAACAAAGGTCTCTGGAGCGTCTCTGACGGTGTGTAATCACAGACTTAAAGGAGACAAACATCACTGTGGGAAATGTGAGAAGGGATGGGAAACAGGCTGGGACAGGAGATCTACGGAAAAAAAAGAGTCAAAAACTAAGAATTAAGACATGGAACAGCAAAGATCCCAATGTTACAAACATGCTCAATCACCTTAGGTGAGAAAACAGAGGCTCAGAATCCAGCACTCCAGTATTCCCTAAGGAGAGATCAGAGCCTCTTCTGTGGCATTGGAGATAAACCAGCAGACCCAGACCCAGTCTTAGCTCCTCTTCTCAGCACTGCACGGTCTCTAGGAAGACTGCTTGCCCTCACCAACCCCACTACAAACTACAGACGGCACCACCTACAGAGCACATCTGTTGATATAATATTCCAGATGTGTACATAAAACATATCTAGCTTTGCAGATAGGAAGCAAAGTTGAAATCGTCCTTGGAATGTTGTAAACGTGCCACCCACTAAGGTCTGATACCACCCTCATTTGACTCCTCATTCGACTTCCATTTCCCCACTAGGCACACCTAACTTCCCAGCAAGGGAGTTCAAAGGATGCACACGTAGGAGCGATGGCGCCCCTTTATCCTGGCCCTGGTGGCAGGGGTCCAGCACCATACTGTGGTACCTCTATTGGGCTTGAGTAAACTGGTGCTTTCCATAAATACATGAGAGTCTGAGTTCAATCTTCCAGAACCCACATAAAAAGCCAAGAACATCAGTAAGTGCCTGTAATGCCAGTTGCTGGAAATGTGGAGACACGTGAATCCCTGGGGCTTGCTGGCCAGCGAGGTAAGTCTAATTGGCAAGCTCCAGGTTCAGTAAGACTCTTTTAAAAAGTGAAAAGCAATAGAGAAAGATGCCTGATATTAACCCCTACCTTCTACACAAACTGACTCTCTCTCTCTCCCCAACCCCTACCAGTATCTTTTGGTTTTCAAAGGTACTGTCTATGGACAAAATCACCAATGTCATCCCAGGGGACAGGGCTAAACCAGGCCACTGTAGAGAATACTAAGCCCAGATCTCTATAGAGACCGTGTACTATGTCCACCACAGCGTTACTGAGCAGGGAGAGCCAGGGTAGCTTTCACATGTGAGGGTTAAGCTGAAGGCCACTCTTAGATGAAGGAGTAGCTGCTGCACACCCTGAGAAGTCCTGGGATGCCAGCTCACCTGCAGGGTATCCTCCTGGTTTTGGGACTGCACAGGTGCTGGCTGCCTCACGATGTAGTTGATCTGCCCTACGATGGTTTGCTGAAGATGCTGAGGAGACTTGGTCTGACTCAGCTGCAGGCTGGGCTGCTGGGCCTGCAGGAGAAGTTCCAAATCCTTTTGCATCTCCTCCAGCTCAAACTTGTGGTGCATAATGTCCACGTTCTGGGAACAGGCAGGCCCGGGAGGGCTCTCATGCTGACTGGAAGCCAGGTGCTGGGATGAAGGCAAGGGCTGGGGTGCATGCTGCGGGGGTGGAGGAGGCGGAGGTGGCGGGGGTGGTGGCTGCTGCTGTGGTTGCTGCTGAAAGTGGCTGAGCTTTAGCTTCTGGTGGTGGCCCAGCTGAACCTGAATGGAGGGCGTCTGTATGGTGGGCGGGGCATGAGCTCCTGGCTGAACATCTTGCGGAGGAACGATGCACACAGGCTGGGATATCAGCTGCTGCCCTGCACGCTGGGGTGTACTCTCCTGTTCTGCAGGAGGCGATGTTTCCAGCCAGGGCTGCAGCAGTTTGGGTGGCTGAGGACTGCAGGCCAGCTCTTTCTCTCTGGGCAGCGGAGCGGAACACTGCAGGGACCCCAGCTGGTGGGGCACCATTTCGGAAGGCTGCCTGAAACTGTGAGCTGGGTGGATACTGGGTGGGTGGACCTGGCCTTTGAGGGACGGCGAGACTGGGGAGCAGTGGGAACAGCAGACAGATGAGGAGCAAAGTGCTGGAGGCTGGAACTTGTGTTGGGGGTGGCTGAGAGCCTCCTGCTGAGTCAGGGGCCCCTGGTGGCTCTGGTAGAAGGACGACTGCCCCTGTAAACTCCCATAAGCAGCAGACGCTGCATCTGTCCGGGTCACCTGTCCTCCTTCAGTGGTTATGCAGCCTGGAGATTGAGAACAGAGAGATTCCCAAAGGTAAGGCGCACCTGCTCCCCTTTGCTGCTTTCCACTCCCAGGACCAAAGAACACCATTCAGCAAATCCTGTCAGCTACAGAGATAAAGAACTTCCACCCCTGACCTCAAGACTCGGTCTAGAATGCTGGTAGGAGCCTGCTTTAGGAGACCACAGGCGTTTGAGGAATTGGGTCAGCTTTTTCTAAATGATCAGCTCTTCTACGCAACTGGGAAATCCACTTGTTCTTTATACTCCTTTTAGTCTAACAGCCCAGTGGAGACTCACTAAAAGAATCCACATGGGGTTGGGGAGGAAGTGTGTTGGAAAATAGTGAAGTGACACCGAGAGCCTCTAGGTGCACATCTGGAAAACTGTTGGGCAGTGTGATGGAAGATCCCATGCCAGGTCAGTATCAGACACCAGCACTGCCCTTGAGTTTCTGGGTGAGAAACCCCTGTGGTGAGAACATCGTATTTAGTGCTCTCTCTGTCTACCCCTCCTTCACTCATTGTCTTGACGTCCTTTTGCTCAAATGGGAGGGGGCAGCAAACAACTAAATCTGGGGCTGGGGATATGGTTCATTCAGTGGAGTGCTGGCCTAGCATGGCTTTGATCCCCAGAATCATAAACTGGGTATGCTGGTGCACACCTGTGACCAGAAGGAAGGTAGAAGTTCAAAGCCACCCTCAGGCATTTAGTGAACTGGAAGCCAATCTAAGCTACATGAGACCTGTCCAAACAAACAGAAACAAATCTAGTGTCATTGATTTGCCAAGTTAAAAAAAAAAAACTCAATGAGATTAACAGCCTCAAGTCAAAGTGGCAGTCAGTAGTTAGCTAAATAAGCCATTAAGGCTGGCAACATGAGCACGTCTTCATATTGTCTATACTCTGCCTGGAGACTGATTGACAGAAATTACAACAGAGAAGATTAATGCACAAGAGGCCATCAATCTTCCGTTCGCATGTCAACCTCAAAAGAGGAGTGTGTAGCTTGTACCACACATATATGCCCTGTGTGAACACAGAGACATGTTCACTTGAACCGCCATACGGCGTTCAGAAGAGGAGGGTCACTCTCTTGTCACCCTCTAGCAATGAAATAGCCAGTCACATCACAGGGAGTGACATTCAAGCAGAATGGGAAGCTAAGATTTCAGGTGGTGCTGCAGAGTCCCATGCTGCCATTATTTAGCCCATCCTCACCACATTTACTCAAGAAAAGGCTTAACTGAGTCTGAGAGCGCTTTCTCTTGGACATATGCTGACCCACCTAAAGAGCACAGCAGATTGCCTATGCTTAATCTTAGCCGACAGGCCAAAGGTCACAGCTCACCAAGGGAAGCCAGCTGCTTGGTCCAGAAGTTGGGCTCCCAGGTGAATCTGATGCTCCAGGGAGAGCCAGGGTCTGTGTTACAACTCGTCTCCAACAACCGCTGCATCTGAAACACAATCTGACAACAGGACCGAAGGTCACTGACTTGGGCATCTGTGCCTGCTTTGGACAGGTTAAAGGACCCCAAGTCATGTCCCTCTGGTCTCTGGTCATACTCTATAGTCTCAGTTCCCTGTGCCCCAGGGCCTTCCAGTCTTCCCAGAGAATGTTCTTCCTATTCCCAATGCTCTAGAATCCTAACGGTCGTATCACTTCCAGGCAGAAGGTAATTTATAATTTCCTGGAAGCCCTATTCATCCCACCATTGCCTACTTTAAAAGCTGTGCAGACCTTCTCTGAGCTGGCCATTGCTCTGCTTCCACTAGCATGTAAAGCGTCTTTCATCCTACCCAGCTGCCATCTTCTCTGCCGTGGCTCTCACCTACCGCCCTTCAGAACTCTCCCATTACCTGGGGCTAGCCACACCCCGCCATCACTGGGTTCTAGATATGGCCCAATCGACATCTTGACCTCTTAAGTTCTTGATGTAGTTTTTTAAGTTTTTCTTTTATTTGAGACAGGGTCTCACATATCTCAGAACTTCTTCAAATCTATTATATATCCAAGGATGACCTTGAACTTCTCATCTCCTGCATGTACCACCACATCTGGTTTATGGAGTGCTAGGTATCAAACCCAGGGCTTCATACATTCTAGGCAAATACTCTACCATTGAGATATATCCCCAGTGCCCATTCTTGATTTTGTTTGTTTTTGAGATTATATTTTAATTACAAAATTTCTCCCTTCCCTTTCCTCCTTCCAAATACTCTCACATACTCCTCCCTTCTCTCCTTCAAATTTATAGATTCTCCTCCTCTTTCTCCTCCTCTTCCCCCTTCTTCCTTTCTTCCTCCTCCTTTTCTTCTTCTCCTCCTCCTCTTCTTCTTTTTCTTTTTTGGTTTCCAAGATAAAGTTTTTCTGTGTAGCCCTGGCTGTCCTGGAACTTGCTCTGTAGATCAAGCTGCTCTTGAACTTACAGAGATCCACCTGCCTCTTGCCTCCTGAGTGCTGGGATTCCAGGCATGTGCCATCACTACCCACCACGGCTTCTTTTCCATCACTGTTACTACATGCATATAAGTCTTTGTATATACATATGTATTCTGTAATGCTGTGGAGTCCATATGTTATTTGCATCACTTTTATTTCTCTAATATCAATCAACTTCCATCTGTTTCCACTCAGTCACTATACCTAAACCCTATTCATCACCTGGACTCATTCTAGCCATGAGGCCACAGACTCCAACAACCTAATTCCTGATTCTAAGGCACTCCTACTCCCACGGGACATGTCTTCAATCTCACTGAATTCCATGAGTGCCATTCCTGATGTCTACAGTCTTCCCAGTATCCCATCCTCTTCAGGTCCCAAATCACTAGTGCCGTAAGTCTCTCCCCACTACCAATTCTAACCTCTGGTCAATCCAGGCATCCGAAAGCCTGTTATCTAAGGCCATGTAAGTGAACATTAGTTTCAGGGGCTCCCTTGGAAGGGCTTCTGTTTTAGGTGCTTCCTTGATCACCTATCTCTTCCATGCGAGGTCATTCACCCTGCCATTTCACCCATTTTTTTAACCCTCCCATTATCTACTACCTTGTAGTTTGCTCCAGGAACTGACGCTGTAGTCCAGTGAACACAGTGTTTGTTGTGCAGGAAGCCCTAGGTCCAATAAACCCAACAGAGTGGTGCATGCCTGTAACACCAGCATTCAAGAGAGCCAAAAGTTCAGGTCACCCTGACCTACGCAATGAGTGTGACACCTGCCTGGGCTGAGTTCCAGAAACAACAGAAATCTAAACTCTCCAAACACAGATCCCTTCCCTTTGCACACTGAACTATGTACACCGCCCTTGTCTGAGACCAACCAGAGCCCTCTGGATCTCACTTTCTACCAGCTTTCCCAGGATGTGTGCCCACCTCTCTTTGTTTTACTGTCAACTTTTCTCCCATATAGAAGCCAGACTTAGAAAGAAAACACTTCCTCCAACTTGCATCCTTCCAAGTTACTTGTCTCTTCTTCGCTCCTATCTCTACCCCATCTCTCATACTCATGCTCATCTGACTTCTGACTCTGCTAGTTTTCCTGGAGCTTCCCCCTGCAAGATCGCCAGGGGCCTTGGGACTGCTGGCTCTTGAGGCAGCTCGCCTTTGTCCACTCTGTCTCACTTCTGTAGTATGGCCGGCACAGACCTGTTACAACTCTGCTCTAAACTCTAGTTGTGTTCCTCTGTAAAAATGATGGCACTCTCTAGTTTCAGATTTGTTCTCCTCTTCTCCTCCATGATGCTCCCATGGTGACTGTCCCAGTAACGTCACAACATCTTAATCTCTAGCCCTGACTCTTCTTCCTACTTCCAGACCCAATTATCTGACTAGCTATTTCAACAGCTCTTTTCAGATACCCTCCAGGCACCTTAGATTTAATATGACCATCTCTCAAAATTCATCCTCCTCCAGCCTGGAGTGTTGAGCTCAGAGGAAAAGAGACAGGAGGATCTCAAGTTTGAGGCCTGCATGAGCTACCCAACAAGACCCTGTCAAAAACCAAACACCTCCTTCTCCAAGGCATCACCATGCTCCCAAGCCCAAAATTCAACTCCTGCTCTTCTCTCATTCCCCTGCTTGGACCCAGTAGCCTCCTGTGAGATCTCTGCACACTGCCCATGCCCAAGACAATATCTGAATCCACAAGAACTACAGGCTTTCCTGGCCGGGTTATCTGGAATAAGTGAGATCATTTCTGCAGCTAGGTCCCTTGTACTATGGAACTTGGTTAAAAAAAAAAAAAAAAAGACATTCACTTACCAACCCCAAACCATGGCTGCATCAGAAGGATAGCTGCACCTACTATCTTACTCTTCTTTCCTCCCCAAAACATGCACTTCCAGGGATGGTCCCACCCCTTGTGAAGCATGAGCTGTTCTGATCTGTTTTCAGACAAGCTGAAGGGACAGGGTTCCTCTTACCAGCTCTTTGCTGAAAAGGAAAGGGATGCTGGTTTTGCTGCAGACAGCCCAATTGATGAAATTCTGCACATGCTCAAACTGACGGTTGAGAACCATGATGCTCTGTAACTGCTGCTCCAGCTTCTGCTTTCTGTCATTAGTAATGCCCTGGTGCACAGAGAAAAGACAGAGTCCCTGGTGCTGTTCAAGGACCTACATGGGAAGTCGAGTGCCATTGTGTACCAGTATGAACACTGATGGCATCAGATAAGAGAACATCTGAAAACAGCCTTGAGCTGTTTTGCTGATGGAGAAAGGGAGACGAGACGGTGAGAGATTTTTATGTACAAATGTGGATTGGTGATAAATAGAAAAAAATGAATGAATGAATAAATGAATGAGTGAATGTCTACATCTCTTGCATACAACCTTGTGAAGAAGGTGCAATTAGTCTGTTTTAGGATGTCAACCTGGTGTAGTTAAGGATGGCAGTTACCTGAGAGACATTGTATCAGTGAGAGGTTGAACTGGCTTTCTAGCCCTTAATAAGCCCCTCTCTCAAAATTAGGCTAGAAGTTTTAAAATACAGTGTGCAGGAAAAGGCTACACACTTTGTAAGACTACATATGTGAATCCTAGCCCTGGCTTCTGACCTGGCTCGTCTGTGTACACATACCTCCAGCTCCGCTATGAGCCCGTTGGCCTGTTTGTTCAGCTCATTCATGAGGACCATCTTGGCCATTTTGATCTGGTTTTCCACCTTCCTATGCTGATGCTTCACTTCAAAAATCCTGGAAACATGAAGGGACAAAACACAGTGATCCCTTTCCTGATGGCTGAGAGACAGCAAACAGAAAAGCTGACACATGGGGGCTGCCTTGATCAGGGCCAAGCAGGCACCAAAGAACAAAGCTTTCCTCGGCCCTGTGTGGTGTCTCCAGCCCCATAACTGGGCCTCCTCTAGGTAAACCTCAGGTCCACAGCCAGGCCCGCCCAGAAGCCCACCAGGTGGCACAGTACTGTGAGATACAGGGGTATGATTTCATATGATGTATTGTCCCAAAGAAAGATGCTCCAAGATGTGAGAGAGAGAGAGAGAGCATGAGAGTGGAGCCCAGAGACGAGAGCCTTCTGAGAACTGGGACAGAGGGGGAGGGAGTGAGTGATCAATAGCATACTTGGTGTTTATTTTAGGGGTGATGAAAATGCTCGCCTGCACAGTTCTGTAAAATGCCAAAACCAATCAATTATGCATTTTAAAGGCGTGGCTTATCACAGATCATTAAAACTATTTAAAAGGTTATGGGCCTTTAAAAGGTTACTGGGTCACCACAGTCCTGGCTTCCAAACTGATTTGCCACATGAGCTCAGGTAAGTCACCTAACCTCTCTCTGAACCTCTGTCTTCTCATCAGTAAAACAGAGAGAAACCTGACTGAAAGAATTATAATGACTGAACCAAATAGTCCAATGGTTCCCGATTCCTCCTCTTCCTATACAAAATACCAGAAATAGCATGCAGTGATAGCATGCCACTTACATATTTGCACGGGGAACAAGAACTGACAGACTGTGACTATCCTACAATAAACAGTATTTTCTTCTCTAGAATCTACTCACTGTGCACCCTTATTCTTGGATACCCTCTTCTGGCTGACTCATAAAGCACAGAACTTTGGCCCAGACTCACTCTGGTCATCTTGAACTAGCCTGGCCCTAGTCATCAGCTGATGTCCCAAAGACACCTCACTGGCCCTGAGACCTCTAAGTAAAAGAGGAACGAGGCTTTGCTGCCGGAGGTGGGGGAGCAGAGCATTTCTGCCACTAGCAGGATCTGGGCTGGCCTACCTGTCCTCGATTTGCTTTGCAGATGTCTGTAGGCTGGATTTCTTATGTGCCACCTGCGTGGTCACGCTTTCCAGGAGCATCCTCTGATTTTGCAGAACTTCTTCGACGTGTCTACACCTAAGAGAGGAGACAAAGCAAGAGCTGAGGAGTGATGGCTCCTCTCCTGGGCATCAGGCACACATGCACTGAGTCAATGGCACTGAAGTCTCTTGGTCCACCAGCAATTTTTTAGAGAGGTCCCACAAGAGAAGAGAAACCCCTCAGCCCGGATGCTGCAAGCTGGCTTGGGCAGAAGAAGGTTCTTTTTTCCCCCTTTGAGATGGAGTTTCACTCTGTAATCAAGTTACCATCTGACTCACTAGGTAGCCTGGACTGTCCCCTGTCCCCTGATGGCCGTCCATCATCCCGCCTTGGCCTCCCAAGTGATGGGATTACAGATGAATGCACCCACCTGTGCTCTTTGTGGTCCACCATTAGGCAGCTGTGGCAGGTGAGCACAGTGCAGGTCTCGCAGAACAGCTTCAGCACCTCCTGTGTGTGCAGAGGGCAATACAGAACGAAGTCCCCGGAGCCACCACCATTCACCCCTGTCCGGGAAGAGAGCAGACGTGGGCTTCTGTTCATGCAGACCCTTCTGGTTAAGTTCTGCTGAGAAGCCCTGGGTCCTCAGAGAACATGTATCTCCTCTCTTGGGAAGCAGGGAAGAATGTGAGCTTAGCCTGGCTAGATTTGCTCAGCTGCCTGGAAACCTCATACTCTCAGGCCCTAGTGTCCCACCACCTAGTGAAGAGGGCACCTGCTCCTGCTCCAGGTGCATCTCTGGCACAGTGGGAAACCCTCCCAAAGGAGCCTAAGCCTCCTCACTAACCAGGACTCTGTGTTGATGGCGCTAAAGCCATCTCCTCAGACTTGATGGACTTCAAGCTAGTTCATGGGACGAACTCTGCCTCCTGTGGGCCTGACAAACATAAAAGCCAAAGGCCTTAGGAGAAGACGTTCTAAAAGGAGGTTGCTTAACACAGGTAGTGCGGGATGGACAAAAGGGCAAGAGTGGTCCAGAGTGTTAGGCCTCTGCATGTGAGACATACTGCTCTAAATAGAGTGGAAGGTAGGAGTTCAAGTAGCTCCCATGATTCAAGATCATGCTCACAGCACCAGCTCACCCACACTTACCCACCCACAGCCCAGCAGTGAAAGGCTGGAGTGAGTCACCCCTCTCACTCTGAGGAAGCCATTCTTCCTTCACAAAAGACTCAGGAACCATCCCCACTGTCTCCCTTGGCTGGGAATAAAGGTCAGAGAGCCATTCCCTAGGCACTTGAGGGTTCAGCACAGAAGCAGGGTAGGGGGCTGGTACCTGAGGATCCCCTCTGTGCCCGAGAGAAGAGTGGGCTGCTTGGGGCTGGGACATGCCGGTGTTCCTCTGTACAGGAGCTGCACAGCCATCGATTGCAGTAAGTGCAGAGAATGTGTGCCGCCCTCTTCTCCTTGCACTCAGAGCAGTTCTGGAAGCAGAGACCTTATCATCACTGAGGCTTGCAGCTGCAAGCAGCAAATGCTCTAGGGAATGGGGTCCTGATGGACTGTATTCCCAGGACTGAGGGGTGTAGTCTATGGGAAGGCTGCCTGGCAGGGTTTGTGCAGGAAAGCACTTTGTGTGACTGAATGAACAGTGTCTATCCTGTGCTAAAGCTAAGGAAACCCAGTAAGCCAAGGCTCCCCCATGAAGGCATGCACAGCAAGGGCAGGGTGTCATCCTTTAAATGGGTAAATGTGTAACAATAAACACCTGACAAATGCTAAGGATATTGGGTGGGGGGGGAGTTTCCAAGAACTAGGCCTAAGGATGGCTGGGAACTTTTTCACCAATAGGAAAACATCTAAGTTGAATGCTGAACATCAAGTAGGTAGATGAAGGGAAAGTTCACAACAGAGGAAAAACTCAAGTGAAAGCAGAGCATTCAGTTTCTTCAAAGGGAGAAAGCCTAAGATGTCAGACTCATCACCAGGGAGGTGAGTCCACAGAGCCAAGAGAGCGCATGCGAGGCTTCAGAGCTGTGTCTCCACACCTAGAGGCTGCTGGCCCAACCTCCTCATCTCCTAGTCCAAAAGTTGGGTCATTTCATCATCAGATATAATGCTAGGTCTGGTGAGAACCGTCATGAAATGATGCAGGCAAACAATCTACCTATTCCATGCCTAACTCTAAACTAAAAAACTCTATGAATTTTCCTATGAATGTCTTAGAAATAGAATCAATGAGTCATCTTCTTAGCACCAAAAGCCCCAGAGGATATGACCATCAGTAGGAATTAAACGCAGGAACAAGTAAATAAATGAGCAAATGAATGAAATATAATGGTAAGAATATACTAGTAAAGAGAAAAACAGAAGGCATGCCAGTCTGTAAGAAATGTGAAATTCAGGAACTTGGAGGAGAGGTTGAGAGTTGTTACAGACAAGATTAAAGAGGCCATTAAATCTAAGCCGGTGTGTGAATTTTCAACTCAGGGGGAAGATAAAGGGAAAGAAAAGCCTAGTTCTGATATTTTCAATAAGAGCCATGAGAAAAAGAAAAACACTAAAATATACTAAGTAATGCTTAATGTGCCTGAAGAAACTGTCACCTTCCACTCAAAGCATGTAATTTTCACCTAGTAGAAAACTACTCTGCTTCTCCCTATTCAAACATTTTTTATTTCCTCCTAGGTGGATGGATGGATGAATGGATAAATAGATGGGAAAACTTAGGGTGAAGTCACAAGTCAGTGATAGGAGGCTAGACCTATAGACAGGGGTCCCACAAATTTCTGTAAACCATCGCCTTCCAATTCCCTTGTCCTGACTTACCCTGGCCATTGTGGGTTGCCTAGGAGAAAAGTACTGAAGAAAAATATGTTCAGTTACATCTCTGGTAAGATAGACTTGCCGACATCCTGGACAGGAGATGAGCTCTACTGGGGAAAAACAGACAATGGAGTCAAGGCAACAGAGAAGATTACAATAAGGCCGAGGAGAAGGCTGTGTAATACCCAGCATCGAGATATGGGCAATACTCCCTGTGCCAAAGTGATCCTTGCTCAGTAACACAGCCTGCAGTTACATGAACATGACAATCCTATCAGAGGCCTTCCCTACAGACCATCCATCTAGCCTCCTTCCATCCCTGTCTTTGCCTAATCTGCCTTCCTCTCTTCCCCAGGAGCCAGCTACCACAAGCTCAGGCTCCTCTGCTTTCAGGTGCCTCCTGCTGCTCCAGTCCCTCACTCTACAGCTGTAAGGTCTCAGTTCCTGGGAAGGTTGGAGTAGTGCAGAGGACAGCACCAGTCATTCAGGGTATCATGTTACCCAGATTACTTCAGAGATCTCAAAGCTAGAGTTTCCAATGAACGACTCGCCCCTCCTGCCTGCCACCAATTGCTTTTGCTTTAACCAATACCACCAGTAATTCTGCTCCTGGGGCATTAGAAGCCTGTTGCTGGGCTGCCTCCACCTACAGTCCTAGACCGTGTTAGGCGCACTGTAGACCATGTTAGGCGCACTGTATGCATCACCAGTGAGCCTGCCTCACTCCCTCTTCCGGAGGAACACAAGTTTCCAGCACATTCCTTAGTAGAGTGGGCAACTAAATTACATAAGCAGCAGGAGGCTCCCATCCTGGAAACAACGTGACTCTTCAGACCCACTCTAACAATGGTCAGAGCTCTGGGAATGAGTCTCATGGAGAGGGCAAGGTACCTGTGTCCGCAGATGAGGCTGGTGTGAAAAAGAGCTGGTGGTAACAGGGCTTGTAGCAACGCTGTCACAGTCTTCTCTGCCTCATCTCATCAACACAGCAATGAACGCCACAGAGGCAAGTGCCCCACAGTTCACCCAGAAAAACGCAAGCCCAAACACCAGGTTTGCCACCTTGGGCAAGTTGCTTCCTATCAACTGACTCACCCATGCCTATTTCATTATATGTGAAACTGAAAGGGAAAAGAGGGAGTTGCTTTGATAGACAGGCATGGTGGCACACACCTACAATCCCCAGCACTTGGGAATCTGAGGCACAAGGCATCACAAGTTCAAGGCCAGTGTGTGTGCATGGGGGGGGGGGGGCGGTACATAGTAAGACCCTGCTGCAAGTTGCCCTCTGGTCTCTGTGTGTGCAATAGTGCACATGCACACACACGAGGGTTGCCATAAGAGTTAAGTGAGATAATAGTTGAGAAAAACATAGTTCTCCTTGAATGTTGATTTGAATTCAAAATATTTCTCACATCCTATCTATGGTATGATGAAAAGCATCATCTTCCTCTTCCCCAAATAATTCCTTGTGATCACTTTTGTTTTTTAAAGGCACACTTTCATTATGTAGCCCTGGCTAGCCTGGGACTCACTATGTAGCCAAGGCTGGCCTTGAGCCCACACAGGTCCACCTACCTCTGCCTCCCGAGTGCTGGGATTGAAGGCGTTTGCCATTGTGCCTGGCCTCTCTTGGGATCCTACCATCAAAAAGGACTCTTGGGATTGAAAAGATGGCTCAGTGGGGGAGAAGCAGGGGCAGAGACAGGCAAGTTCCTGGAGCTCTCTGGCCAGCTAGCCTAACCAAATTGGGGTAGCTCCAGGTTCAGTGAGAGGTCCTGTCTCAGAGCATAAGGTATAGGGCAACTGAGATAGACACCTCATGTTGACTGGTGCTCTTCACATGTGCATGCCACCCACACACATATGAACACTGAACACAGAGAGACAGACAGAGAGAGACAGAGAGAGGGAGAGGCAGACTCTCCATGTCTAGACCTCAGGGGTCTGTACCATTTTGTTCTTTCTCCTAGAACTCTCCAGCTGCTATGTGGAAAGTTGAACCTAAGGCTCAGATTGCTAAAAGACATCAGGCTTTGAGGGAGGAGGCCTTAGCTGTCTCAAACATAACTCATAAGGCCGCTTGTTGAAAGTTACTTTCACAAGACTCCTGACTCCTGGTACCAAGTGCTCAGACACAGAAAACAGTAACACAGCCGAGTGGAAAAGGAGGATGAACTGGACAGTTCAAATAAGGCCTTGCTCAGCCTTAAGACAAAACCCTGTCCGGCATTCATCTTCAACCTGGCCTTCCACCCTTCCAGCCTCACCTCTAGCTTCCTCTGTCAGATACCAGAATCTGTGGCATGCTGAGTCTGTCTCTGGAACAGCCAAACTTTTGCATGGCTCTCTTCCTTCTTGAAATACTAGTTCTAGCTTCTGTCCTTTTCAGATAAACTCCTATGTATCCTTTCAGACCTGCTCGAATGTTCTGCTTTTGAGAAACAGGACTGATTTCCCCTAGGATCAGTTAATTAGTGCCTCCAGTAGAAGAAGCATCACACTGCATTTTAACTACCTGTTCATATGTCTGCATACAGAAATAATCCACATTTGGCTTTCAAGGATGGGTTTTAGAAGACTAGATAATTGCATTTCTTCTGCTGGTGTATGTGTGTGTACTCCTTGTGCTCACAGCCACTTTTAGTAGAAGAAGCCAGCTGGCAGTTTTTGGATGGTGGGAGAAACCACCCTGAGATGAGAGCCACACTGTGTGTAGACAAGGCTCTGCTGTTATTGTCTGACTGTCACCTGGGTGATCACCCCCTTTCTCTGAATGTTACTAAATTGTTAAACTGAAGGGACTAGGAGTAGCAGGGGTGTGCCGATTATGCAAGCCTTTTCATGTGCCTTTAGCAGCTTCAGGAAAACTCCCCTAGGCAACAAGATGGGACAGTCAACCAAATGGCACTGAGGCTATCATCCTTGTCAGAAAGTCAAGTGGGCTAGGCACGATGGCACACACCTATAATACCAGCACTTGAGATATCAAGGCAGGAGAATAGCCAGTTTGATTCCGGCCTCAGCTACACAGTGAGAAACTGTGTTAAACAAACAAAACAAAACCCAGAGAGCTGTGGCTAAGGGGAAGCTGGAGGAAGGGGATTAACCAGAGGTTGACTACACTGCTCATAAGACACTCTACATATTTAAATTGTCTCACATGTAAAATGTTATTTACATATAGTCCTTATATTGGAGGGACTTTTTTTTTTGAGACACAGTCTCATGTAACCCAAGTTACATGGTCTTGAACTCAAAATAGAGCCAAGAATGACCTTGAACTCCTAGGGAGGTAAAATTACGCGTGTATGACACTGTGCCTGATTTCTGCAGTGCTAAGGATTAAATCCAGGGCATCACGCATGCTATGGAAACACTCTACCAACTGAACTGTACGAGAGATGTGGAGCTTTTAAAGACAGGGCCTTATTATGTAGCCTTAGACTGCCTGATTTCTCTATGTAGACTAGGCTAGCCTTGAACTTAACAGCAACTCTCTTGCCACTGCTTCCCAAGTGCCGGGATTAAAAGTGTGCAACACCAAGCCCACCTATTTTACAGCTTATTTCTACTTGAATTATTCAGTTTTCAGGCTTGAACATTTCTTTTACAACCAGAAACTTTATTCTTGAGACACAGGGAACTATGACACAACGAGGAAGGCCCTCTGTTTCCAGAAAGAAGAAGGTACTGGAGGTTTCCCTATGGAGCCTAGTGGTTTAGGAGAACAGCTCTGAGAATCAAAGTCATTCACTCTGTTAAGAGAGTGGAAACTGAGATGGGGCCACGGTGCAAGCCTGTAATTCTAGCACTCAGGAGACTGAGGCAGGGACTCTCAAGTTCAAGACCACACTAGACTACATAGCAAGTTCCAGGAAAGGCTATCTCAAAAACTGAATAAGTACATGTCCTGTCCCTCGGAGGTGTAATACAAACTGGCATCTTCTTAGCAGTACTCTCTGCACTGGCACCACACATGTGATACCTATTCAATCATCAACTCTTAGCAATAGGTCTTGTCTCCATTTTACTGGGGAGATTAAGGCTCCAAGAAGCTAAATTATATAAGCCTGTGGCAGACTGAAACCTAAGTCTGTTTGCCTTTAGAACCATGTCGCTGGGGCCAGGGAGATGGCTGGGCAGTGAAGCACCTGCCATGAAGGCATGAGGACCTAGTTCAGATTCCCAGAGCTCATGGGATGCCACTATGCTGGCGAGCATCTCCAACCTCAGAACAACGGCAGGTAGATGGAAGGTGGGGACAACAACATCCCAGCAGTCCACGGACTGGCTAGCCTGGGCTACACAACACAGCCACAGACAACAATAACGCCCTGCTTTCAAGCGAGCTGAAAAATGAGGGCAGACAGTCAAAGTTGTTTTCCAACCTCCACGCATGTGCCATAGCATTCATGTGCACAAACATGTACCCACACGCACACACACACAAATAAAACCATGTCCCTTTCATTATGCTATACTCTTTCCTAATTCAATAATAAACAAATGATATACTTTTTAAATTAACTAGGCAGTTTCACCATATACAAAATATTTCATAATAATGATCAGACCACACTTATGATCCAACTATACTAATAGCCTGTACCCAGCTCTGGAAACTGGAATTCTCCAGCTGTGCTTAAAGGTTTAAGAAATACAATATTTGAGGAAAAGCAAATGAAATGAAGCTTTTGTGCCTAAAGAAAATAAATGTGGAGACAGGTGCAGTCTTTGCTACAAATCCTAACTATAAGGGGGAATTTTAAAGGACGTGGCTCATGGGTAGCGAGAGCAACAGAGTTTCAGGAGGTCCAGGCATCAACATTCAAAACTAATTCTTCATGGATTACAGTGCATGGCTCTTTGAGGACCAGCACCCTGGACAGTATTCTGTCCCCTGTGTCAGGAAGCTGAGAAAGGTAGAAAGTCCAAAACTCTCTCCATGTAGCTGTGGTGGGGTTTCCCTCTGACAGACAAATGGGTATATTCCAACACACAGAAGGAAGTCCTGGTGCCCAGGTACCCTATGGCACTAACTTGGAGGCTACATTTTATCTCCTCTGACTTACAACTCAACTAAAAGACCAACATGTAGTCTGTGGCC